ATATATGCTCAGAAGCATACTTATAATGATAACTTGTTTTAGTTAATTAGAAAAGTTCGGTTTAACTCTAATGTCTTATTTTTCACAACAGCACACATACATGTAAATCTGGAATCACCAGAGAGATTCTGACTGCATCAGCAACTAAACAGCCGCTATATTTAAATAAAGAAACATGCAGAATAACATCAGCAGTTCATTGTTCATCTTTAACTCATACACTGGCTCTACTCTCCTCCACAACGGTGACAGACAGAAGAAATTAGCCTTAGGTTTTACAGTAAAATACTGTTTTTTTCCTTGATTTAACGGTAATCTACTGGCAGCTGTGGTTGCCAGCAATATACTGTTTTTTTACAGTCTATTTCCGTTGTGTAAATTAACAGTATATTACTGTTAAAATACATTTTTACACTGTGTTTTTACCTCTCACACCTTTAACCCTTTAAACCCCAGAGCATATACTTCAATTTTAATTGAAGTGTCCACACTACTGAGTGTTCAAGAAACATGTAGCAAAGCTGAAGTAAATTCATTAATTAACTGACTAATTAAATGATAATTGAGGATTAACAATGAACAAATGAAGAAATACTGAAGGGAAAAAACAAGAACAGAACATACAAAACTTTAGTCACAGCTTTATAATGAAATAACCTGAAGAACAACAAATGATTAAATCATTTAAATGATCAGCGGATGATTAAACAACTCTACAAACATCATCACCAGCTACACTTATTACTTAATACATGTATTTTTGAATAACATCTACTAAAGTTCTTCTTAACAAAAAGTTAAAGTTTTACGTCACCATCATGGAGAACAGAGTTTGCTTTAGTTGGGCTCTCAGCCCTGTCATTTTTAACATTTATTTATCTTGGCTGCTGCAATTGTTAAGAACTTTGTTTGAAAAGCTCCTTTGTTGTGGCAAGTCAGCCAAAAACCTAAATAAGATCTGGTGATGTTCATGTTGCTATTAAATGGCAGAGTCTGTTCTCATTTAGTATTATAAAATTTACTGCTCCTATTCAATGTTAAATCTATTGTTTTACATTATATGTCTATATATGGCAATGATTTCTGGAAGTTTTTAAGAATATCTTGGACAATAACACTGCTCTATGGTGTAAACTGCACTCAAAGAGACATCAATAATCAGCATATGAACCTCAATAATGGTGACAACTAACAAAATTAACAGTTTAACTGTTCAGTTTAACGCAACCGAAAGTCTAAACATAAACAACAGCAGAATCAAACACAAATAAAGAAAACTGTTAGACCATTATACATTTGTTTATACCGCAATGCATGCTGGGATATTTGTACCGTGCCACTCCCAGCATGCATTGCAGCATGAAACATTTGAGATGTTACCATTGTTGAGATACAAGGTCAGATTCATCAGGTCTGAGTGTGTATTTGTCATAACTGAACTGTTTTTGTATGTTATTTCTTAACTGTTAAGTAATTACAGAGGTATCTTTTCTGTTTCCACTTCTCATTATTTAAATCAATAGCTGCAACTAAGCATAAAATCTATTGCATGAGACCCTTCTTCCAGATTTATAACAAAAACACTTATCAGAACTAATTTCAGACAGATTTCTCTATTTATTGACTTTCCAACTTGATTGCTATAATACAAGCATTTTGTTAACTCATTATAGTAATTGGAGAGTCTGAATTAATAAGTTCAAGGGTGAAGAGCCCAACTAAACCAGCCCCTCACTCCATTACGGTGACACAAAAAACACCTTAATTTCTGTTGGATCTCAATGAGAATAGTATGGAAGTCAAATCAGTCAGTAATAAGTGTGTCTGCTGTTGTTTGTAGAGTTGTTTAATGATCCTCTGCTGAGACTGAAGCTGTTTTATTTTATTTGATTTTATTTAATGTTGTAACTCAAGTCACTGTTTGTGTTTCTTGTTTATTTTCTTCAGTTATTGTGATTATTAACAGCAGGTGTTCATCAGTGTCTGAATTCACTCATTAGTGTTCATTAACTGTCAGGTGAACTATATTAGTTAACTAGTGTATGAAATAGTGAACAAGGACACAAAGTGTGATTTCAAACACAGACTTCAAAACATCGAATCTGAACTCTGTTAGCTCACAGTTTTCTGCAGTTGGTTACTTTCTCGAAAACAAAAATGTTACCCAGAATGCACTGTTTTTAACAGAATATTACTGTTTTAGTTAAAAAACATTATTTTACCGTAGAATCTGACCGTTTTTTAACAGCAATTTTTTACAGTGTAATTACCCATCTGATAACAGAAATGCATGCCTTTTGCTAATATATATTTATTATACTTAATAACAATTATTTATAACTGTTGTGTTGTAATCATGTACCTATAATTAATTTTATTTTTATGTTTCTATTAATCAATATGTTTTTAATAATATCCCTTTACCATAGCAGAGAAATTACCTGGGAAATGTGATCTTTGTTTTGCTTGTTTTAGGCTACAGTATTGGAAATAAAGCACTTGTTGAGTTTTTTTACATTTAAAGGGCCATGAAACCCCCTCGTTTCAGCAGGGTGTTTTCACACCTCTACTTTGGAAAAAGTCAGAAAAGTGTTTGGTCCAGCTCTGTTTAGGGGGAGTTTTCAGAGGAACTAAAGTGGGAGGGTGTGGGAGTGTCTATTTGGGCACGCGCGAGTTTCAGAGTCAAAATAAACACACAGGAGAAAGTGATGGTGTTTAACCTACATGGACATCTGTAGTCTAATTATTTGCCAAATTATTAAATGGACTTTAATTGCAGTTTGGCTCTTTCATTCAGGGAATTCATTCATGCCCCTCGCGACAAACGAGATATTTGATTCGAGGATCTGCTCTACGCGTGTATTTTTCATGCAATGTTTGATACCGCACGGCGATGAGAGAAAAAAACCCTCCGCATTTCCCGGAAACTTAGATGCACTCGGCAGGTAGCGTCAGAAAGCCGCGCGTGTTATTCCGGTCACAAAATGCGGTAAAAACCCTACACGAGGTTAAAGTTTAGTTGTGGTGGTAACATGTTTACACTCGGTGCTATAGTTAACTTAGTTCGATACGAACAAACTGAATAAACAAAGAGCACTGGACGCTCACTTACCAAATCTGTAGAGGCAGGACAATCACCAGCAACTAGAGCCGCGTCTTTATGAAGAGAAGACTACAAGCGAATCCGGATCTCAGCGTTTGCAGATGAGAACAGCTCTCAGGTAAACAATAATCCTCCTTAGACACGTAAGTTATTGTTGTCGAGCGTCGCGTACACTGTTAATCCACACGTGACTCCAGATGAGCTCTCACAGAGAGAAAATGAAAACAAAACCCCAGATAGCAAGAACATTTGGGCCAAATGTGGGTGATAGCTGGCACATGTGGCTGAGGTATGGCATGGCTCTACAGATATGGGCCAGATTATTACCATATATGTTTTGCCATACATTCAGAAAAGGCGGGAATTTTCTTCTGGCTCACAGCTCCTTTTGCAGTATGTGGGCCAGTTAACAAAAAACACACAAGAGCCTAGTAAGGCTGAGCTATGGCCGACATCGGTTGACATCAACTTCTGGCTGACTTTGGGATTGCATTTGGAAAACACGTGAAACTGAACACAGGTCTATCGTTAGCAGACATCTGCCACACCACTCTTCAGTTGACAAATCTACTCTGCGAGCTTAACATTCTTCCCGCCTGTCATTTGCTTCAGGTAAGTGATAATTTGGTATTTAAAGTGATTTTACTTAAAATGTTCAACATTATATGTAAAAGTTTGGACTCATTGAGTGATTAGTTATTCATTTAATTGAGCAATGCGTCCAGTTGTATAATGTTATCCTCTTTGAACGTAGTGTTTATGTAACGTTAGCACTCCAACAGTTTGCTGTTTAAATTAATGTCAACATTAAAGTTATTGCCAATTTCCAATGACCACAAAATACGGTTTATTTATTATAGATAAATATCAATTTGTGAAAATGTTCAGTCATGTTTCAGTGTGGTTTAGTAAGGTTTAAAATAAAAGCGGTCCCATTAGGCCTAACATGATATTGGAAGTAGTTTGGTTTTCAAAGATTAACCTATGTTGGCTCTGTTTTGATAGTTTTAACAGTTAAAAGTTCACACAAAAATGTAGTTGTCATCAATTACTCTTCCTTTATTTGTTTTATTTATTTCTTCTGTTGAACAAAAAAATTATATATTTTGAAGAAACCTGTGACAATTGACTTTAGTAGTATTTGTTTTTCCTACTATGTAAGTCAATGGTTACAGGTTTACAGCTGTCTTCAAAATATCATCTTTTGTGTAGCTGTGGAAAGAAACTTATAAAGGTTATAAAGGTAGACATACTACAACAACATTACTTCTTAATATCTGAGTACAAATCTCATCCTCATAATTATGACCTCTTCTTTTCTATTTCTACAACTTTATAGGCCTATATAGGTTTTCTTTTTTTCCACATGAATTGTCGTCTCTTATTATCTGTGTTCCATGTTTCCTGCCATTCTTTAGCAATATCTTCAGTAATATTTAATTTACCTTTACTTACAGAAGCATTAAAGGTGTAGTTCAAAAAAAAAATACAATTCTGTCATTTACTCATCTTCTAGTTCCAAATCTGTTTGAGTTTCTGCTTCTGAATGCAAATAAAGAGAATACATGGGCAAAAAACTACAAAAAAAAAAACACTATATGGTTCAACAGTTCCTACTTTGAACATGGCTGCTTTTTTCCCCATTTTCTTGCACACAAAATGTTCTTGGAGCTCGATTACAATTGAACCACAAAAGTCACGTGTTTTGACATCGTTTTTGGTTCCTTTTCTGGACTTTGAGCATCTCAGATCTCTTGCTGTCTATGACTGATGAAGGAGCTCTCTGATTTCTTTTAAAGTGTCTTCATTTGCGTTCTGAAGATGAGCAGAGTTCTCAGGAGATTGAAACAACAGGTAGAGGGACAATCATTCTCGAGTGCCTAGTGTACACTAACAGAGGCTTCATTAGCTTATTTAGCTAAAAGAGAACAACTTTTGAGGACAAACTACGATTGTTGACTTCTACATTGCGATTATTACCAAATACCTACAAAGAAAAGCCCACTGAGGCCATTTTTTCATCCCACTTCTTCATTGAGGACTGGAAACGTAAGTTGCACATGCTGAATTTACACTCAAATAATATCTGAATGCTAACATTATAAAATGTAAAATCTATACATGCGTGGATGCACTGTTCAACGTTGTATTTAGTCCAGCATACATGAAAAAAGTACAGAAACACAGACTTGTTCAGTTTGTATCTGATAAAAATTCTGAATCAAAGATTCCAGTTGTAGAGGAGGATTTTGAGATCAGGAAGTCCTGGAGTGTCTGTGAAATTAGACCCAGAGTTGAGCCCACAAAGTGCCAAGGAAGAGCTCATTTTAGACAAACCGGTGGAAGATAAACCAGAAGTTAAAATCCTGCGAGCTTATTTAAGCGATTATGCTTGTGGTTTTGAAGGTGATGTGATCAACATTGATTATTGTTATTGACTTGTTTGTAATGTACCACAAAGATACAAAGACGTGGTTACATCAGTAAATGCAAGTGAATAGGTTAAAGCTATGGAAGAAGAAATGCAATTGTTAAAAGAATGCAACTTTTGCTCTCACCAACCTACCTAAAGGCAAAGGTCTAGTGGGTAAATGGGTTTTTGCAAAAACAATGTATGTTGCCAAAGAGAACTATGATAAGTCTTTACTCCAACTGCTAACATGACTAGTGTAAGAGTGTTGATGCAAAGAAAATCTGATTGTTCATGACATGGATGTAAAAGCAGCATATTTACATGCACCAATAGAGTGTGACATTTCAAAGAAAAGCCAGAATGTTATGAGGTAAAATCGAAAATAAAAGGTGTGAGAAATGTATCAATAAGTCATGACTAAGCAAAACAAAAAAAAAGACTTTTATTTTGGTGTGGTGTGTGATGTCATAAGACTGTGCCGCTACCGCACTGTGATTCAACTGGAGAAAGGTTTGTGTCAAAGCTTTTGCACAGATAAAAAACTGATTGATTAAAGTTTCAGGTTTTTCATTCAACGATAAATGATGTACCTGCTGTTAACAATATTATTTTAACCTTTTATACAACGTTGTTCTATCTTAATCACAGTGATGAGGACTATTATTTGAATAAAGATAGGATAAACTTTATTTGTCCACAAGAGGAAATTTGTCTTGTGCAAAAAAAAGTGCTACACATTGCTGTAAGCGGACAATAAAATAAAAAACAAACAAACAAAACAATTAAGAACATACCTGAATAAAGTTTGAATAAAGTTACAGTAAAGAGTGTAATAAGTGTTTTAATGAAGGTTAAATTTATTAAATAGGCATAATGTCATTCTGTTCAAAGTAAACATCACTGTATAGGAGAAATTGAGTGCTTGTTTTAATCAGGTCATTTGTGGCTATTGTTTCTTGCTCAGACTTACTATTTTACCTGATTTTTTTGTTAATTACTCTCATATAAAGAAAGTGTTAAAGAGAAGTTATTTTGTTTCTGTTCATTGTTTTATTAATTTTAAACAGGACATTTTTTTTTGTTTTATTCATTTTAAACAGGATAAATTGTCCAAAAGCAGAGGAAAATTTCCTGCTGAAGTGACTGATGTCCACACTGTTGTAAAGATGGCGTTTATTAAAGAGGAGAGTGAAGATGTGAAGATTGAAGAAACATTCACAGTCAAACAGGAAGATCTGCAGGAACAAACAGGTTGATTTTCATTCTCAAACACCAAATCTGATCCTCATTCAGATATATTTTAATAATAAGAATACTAAATTAAATCCATTCTTGCAGCCCTGAGTGTGCTGCCTAGTTCTCCTAAATGCACATAAGCACTCATTGAAAGACAGGAATGAGTTTCTTTCGTCACTTGTTCTCGTGTCTTTTGTCATTCTTTTATGTGTTATTAGTTTCCCATTTTCTCTATCTTCTTAATGTTATTGCTTTTCTTGCTCTTTTACTGTTTGTAAAGCGTCCATGAGCACTGGCGCTATATAAAATAAATAAAAACAATAAATGAATAAAAGGTTTAACTGAGCTGACAATATAAAGATTTTAAAAAGTAACAGAAAAGTGTGTAATAATTATATTACCGAAGGTTTAATTTATTTAATAGCATAATGTCATTACATTCTAACAATACATAACTATAAGAAATGGAATACTAGTTTTAATCAGGTCATTTGTGGCAATTGTTTCTTGCTCAGACTGACTTTGATTTCTTTTTGTTATTACTTTCATATAAAGAAACTGTTGAAGCAAGTGTTGAATAGAAGTTATTTTGTTTCTGTTTATTTATTTTAAACAGGACATTTTAATTGTTTTGTTCATTTTGCTTTTCTTGTTCTTCTAAGCATCCTTGAGCACTGGCGCTATATAAAAAAGTTTAACTGAGCTGACGATATTTGACCTACAGTATTCCTAAGAAGATATCTGCTATTACAGTGATAGTGTTGGCTTAGTACTTTTCATTTGCATATGTCACATTGATCACAATTCCCTTTTTCTCAACTTCTTTCTGGGTTAAACTTGATTTTAGTAGATGTTACTAGTTCTCACAGAAAGTATCTGAGTTAGAATTACATCATTATTATACTCTTAATACTTAATTACCAGCTATTGTGTTAAAAGTGTGTCATATGGATGCCCCCAATTTTAAATATGCAGAATTAAATAAATACTAAAATTATAAATTATTATAAAACATTGTACAGTAATCTAAACTATATTTATGTTGTTGTGGGACGACGTGAGACAAAAGGAACAAATTATAGTGGAACTAAAACGTTTAGCATTGCACTGACTACAACTGGCCAACAAACCAGTCTAAAAATGACCTTTTCTGCTTAAGAAATGGATTACAGCATGCTGATGATATGCAAACATTTGAGTGTGAAGTTCGTCAGTATTGACCATATTCTTCGTGTACCAGCAGGCACAGCCATTGAATTTTTGTGTTTGACACTTTTTTAAAGAAATCATTTTTAGATCCTAAAATCATTGTTATGCTGCTTACGCAAGGGATGATAACTCCTTTCATGGTGTAGCCTGGTTTGGAAAAGTCAAGGTTTTAAAACCGCCAAAATTTAAGTCAGAATTATTAGCCCACGCCCCCATTGATTTTTTTTTCTTTTTTAAATATTTGCCAAATTGTGTTTAACAGAGCAAGTAAATTTTCACGGTTTGTATGATAATAATTTTTTTTCTTCTGGAGAAAGTCTTATTTGTTTTTTTCCGGCTAGAATAAAAGCAGTTTTTTTAAAAACACCATTTTAAGGACAGAATTATTAGCCCCTTCTGAATTCTGTCTTCAACTGGATGCAAGTGTTTTTTTGTTTTTTTTTTTTTTTTACATTTTAAGATAGTATCTCCAGCAGAAAAGATATCTAAAGATGTCATTTCAAATCGTAAAGCAATCTGTTTTTGAAACTAATGAAAACAACAGATGTCAATGATTCATTTGAATGATTTAGCCTGACATGATTACTGCTCCAAAATATAATAAATAAATATTTCTCAAAAGAAAATATTTTGTGCTTAAAGGGGAAAAAAAAGTGTTTGTTTTATACCTAGACATTTAAAAGAATATATTTTAGAGCAGTAATCACAATACTGTGAAAGCATGATATTTTTATTCAAGGTTATCATACGTCAGAATCTTATACTGGCCCATGCCTATTGCTGCTTGATGTTGCCAAGTCATATTTTATTATTTTATTATTTTTCTTTGTATGAATAAACATGAATACACTTGTTTGTAGAGTAAGTAGTGTGACCGTTTTCTACCGTTATTCCTGGTCATTTCTCCAATAGGCAACTGAAGCACTAAAACAATAGCATGTGAGATCAGGGGCTGTTTCATGAAAGTGGTTTAGAAAAGTGGAGATTAAAGTTGAAAACCTGGCTTCAGTGAGCCGAACTAATCGTCCACACTTAAATTGGTTCCATAACAGAAATTCGAAAATCATTTTATGTAACTAATCTGAGTTCAGTCAAAATAATCCAGATAACTTGCTTGTGCACGTTACTGTCATGAAACCCTGAAGGTTGAGCACAGATGCATTGATTATGTTGTGTGCTACCATGGCAACTACTTACTGTTATAGAACCAATTTAAGCCCCTAGGGGTTATAAAATAATCCTGGGTTTTCATTAACAGACGTTTCACATTGGCAAACCCTGGGTTAACATTATTATTTGTATATTTAAGATGCCACTGTCCCTGATTGGACAAACAGCAGGTAACCTTTTGAGATGGCATTTCTGCATCTTGGCAGGTATATAAAATGTCACGACGTAGGTCTTCAGCTAAGCTTCTTTGGCTTAGTCTCTTTATTCATCAAGGGTCGCCACAGCTGAATGAACTACCAACTTATCCAGCATATGTTTTAAACCAGCTTCAACTCAGTACTAGGAAATATTTGCATAAGTTATATACAATAATGCAAACTCACAAATAGAAGAGTAAATTATGCGCACTTGCTATGAACATGCAGGATTTGCTCCAATCGGGTTTTCCAAGCAAGTTTAAAATGTTTAAATCATGTGGAAGATACACATGAGGGAATTTAACACGAGTAATCCTGAGCGAGTGCATTTGATCATTTGCATTTAAAGCCACAGGCGCAAAAAGAGCTTGGTTTTCCTCCAGACCACCAAAATTAAATATTCTCAAAGGAATATGATCTGATTTTGAGATAAAACCTCAGACACATTCTGGGAACACCAAAGATTTATTTTCATAAAAAATAAAAAATAATAATATTAATAAATTTTTCTTTAAAAAAAAAAATAATAATAAAGGTTCATAATAGGAACCCTTTAAAGATATTTATGAAACAGAAATGAAAATAGCCTCACCATTTACTGTACCTCTTGTGGTTTTTAACCTTTATGGGGTTTGTTGATTCTGTTGAACACAAAAGAAGATATTGTGAAAACAAATGTTAGCTTTCTTTGTGTTCCAGAAGAAAGGAATTGTTTAAAAGCAAATGAGAGAGTAAATGGTATGGTCATTTATATTTGTGGGTGAAACATCCATTTCATGCTTATCGCTTTGAGTCTTCATACTAAAGTTAACTTCTTCTTTTTTTTTTAAGACCTGATGTTGCTGAAAGAAAAGACTCATCAACAGAATGAAATGGAAGAGAAACAGCAAGACATGACGACTGATGAAAAACCCACACTGACGAAAAAGACTTTGTCATGTGGAAGACCTCGGAAATCCAAACTTAGGTGTAATTTCAGCTGTAAACAGTGTGGAAAAAGTTTCAGTCAGAAGCCAAAGCTTGATGTTCACATAAGAGATCACACTAGGGAGAAAGCTTATACTTGCGAACAGTGTGGAAAGAGCTTCTATAATACAAGAAACCTAACAGTGCACATGAGAATTCACACTGGAGAAAGGCCGTACACATGCCAACAGTGTGGGAAAAGCTTCCATAAAACAGGAAACTTAACAGTGCACATGAGAATTCACACTGGAGAGAGGCCATACACATGCCAACAGTGTGGGAAAAGCTTTCAAACTACAGGAAACTTAACAGTGCACATGAGAATTCACACTGGGGAGAAGCCTTACTCTTGCCCTCAGTGTGGAAAAAGTTATAGTCAAAATAGCACCCTTGAAGTCCACATGAGAACTCACAATGGAGGAAAAACTTTTGTTTGCACACAGTGTGGTAAAAGTTTTGTTAAAAAACAAAATCTTGACCTCCACATGAGGATTCACACTGGAGAGAAACCTTACACATGCACAGAGTGTGGTAAAAGTTTCCCATATAAAAGCACACTCAAACACCACATGATAGTTCACACCGGAGAGAAGCCGTTTGCATGTGCGCAGTGTGGAAAGAGCTTCACATGTAATGCTAACCTCAGGAACCACATGAATGGTCACACTGGAACCATAGTGTTCACATGTGATCTGTGTGGAAAGAGTCTCACACACAAATACTCCATAAAGAACCACATGAAGACTCACTCAGGAGAGCGTTTTATATGCATTGAGTGTGGAAAGGGCTTTAAACATAAAAGAAGCCTCAGCAATCACATGGAGCTTCACAATGGAGAGCAGAGTCCTCAAAATTAAGGCCTTGTCCACACAAACATGAGTATATGCATAACAGCAGCCTTTTCATGTAGTTTGGCTGTTGATTGACGTGAGGTTTATTTATAAACTACTTTCGAGAGGATCACATGCTTATGATTGTCCACGGCTGGTTCCACATTAACCAACACATGATTCACCAATCAGACGATTCCTAACTCACTATAAATAACCAGAGTTTCTAACCTTAGTTATCTTTATCTTGAGGAATTCCCCTCCCACCCCTACTCCTCCTCCTTTCTAGAATGGGCAACACAGCAGCCCAGTGATTAGTATTGTTGCCTCACAGAAAGATTGTCACAGCAAGAAGAGCCCTCACTGAACTGGTTGATATTTGTGGAGAGTTTGCTTATTCTCCCCATGCTCACATGGGTTTTCCCCAGTTTCCTTCCACAGCCCAAAAACACGTAACCTAAGTAAACTGAATATTCTAAATTGGCACCGTAGTCAAGTTCTTAGAAGCCATATATCTCCCTTTAGCTATCTGGATATCTGTCATTAGAACAGAAACAAGTCGGGGGAGTTCATTAAGATCTACCTGAGCTCAAACTCCTCTCTCACCCTGCTAACGAGAGGTAGCCCAGGGCTCGAGGATGATCTTTTGGTTAGGATGATATTTTGATTATGATCTTTATGCTCTCTCCCATGACAGCATGCCAAACCAGTGTGAACTTTTAAAAACATACCAAATTACTGGAAATAAAACGCTTTGAACACCTGAAGATTTAAACTCAATTACTAAAAAAGAGTGAAGATTTTGACAACTGTTTTGTTGTGTAGATCAGCCCAGTACCAGGTTGTGAGAGTTGCTATTGGGCTGCAAGAACGCATAACTCTTTATGTTGATAGATTGTATGACTTGTTTCGTATGCAATCAAGTATCAACGTCTAAAAAAGTGGAAACCAAATAAGCTACATCAACTCAAGAGATGTGACCCAACCAAAGCAGTTGGAAATTCTCGGGGGAGTTACATCCTTTGTTATAGTGTCTCACAGACAGTAATTTGGGTTAAATTACTTGAAAACCAACGAGTTAACATCACTGCTGAGGAACTGCATCATTCTTTGTCTTCAATAAACTTTTCCCCCTGTAAGTACTTTGGTCAGGTTACTTATTTTATGTATTAGAGTCATCTATTACATTGGCGGGCCACCTAAGAATGGTTCAGCCAAATACAGCAAAATCTGACAATGTGTTTCAACTTATTATGAACCGATAACCATATTTGTGCACATCGCACACTTCTATCAAAAAGTCAGCTCTGAAAAGAAAATAAGAAAAATTATGGAGGAGAAAATGTTTGGGGAGATGCAGGGAACATTGTTCTACACCCTGAAATTGTGTTTTTGATAATTCACATTGTTCGATTGTCACACTTGTGAACAAACACAATTTTGCTTCCAATTTTGGGCTTTGGACTGCCATTTCACAAAACTTGTTGGCGAATTAAAGTCTGGCTAAACCCTGTTCAGACTATACAATGCCATTTGCCAGTTACCACAGATCAGATTTGTGTCAGATAATGACATTTTGACTTGATAAACTCTTGATGTGTTGTGAGTAACAAATGAAGTTACTCATGATTCAATGATGATTTAAATGATTCAAAACACTACACATTTAATTTGATGGACTAATTTGAAAAAAAAAAAGGTTTTCTTTACGGAGACAAACTTTCAGTAGACAACAGGTTGTCTTTAAAGATAGATTCATGTAAAAACTCCCACATTACAACAAATAAATCAGTGTATGGGAACCCAGTGTCGCTACCCAGCCGGCATTTCAACAGTGATTCAACGTTGAATCAATGTCAGGTCTATTGTTGGATCAACATTGAATTACCTTTTAATTTTGCAAATTGAATCAATGTTTATATAGTGACATTGTTTCACCGTCGGACCACCACCGGTGATTCACTGTTGAAATCACGATGTTGTTTGACACTCTTACCTTCTTCATGGGTGAATTGTGGTCATTTTGTAGACGTTGAATGAAGGTTGAATTATCTTTCGATTTTGCAAATTGGATCAACGTTGATACCTTGACATTGTTTCACCGTCGTACATTTTAACGTAATTTAAATAGAAATTACATATAACACAAAATTCATCAATAGCTAACAAATTTTTACTAATAAAATACACGACACAAATACACAACTTAGCCTGTGTATCAATTTATTTAGTACACACCCCATTATTTCATTTATGATAAATACACAGCAACATTTTCAGCATACAATCCTTCATTAAAACCATGCAGGTTACTATAGATGCAGTACACTCAAATACTAAGGGTGTCACGATCCTCCAAATCCTCAATTCGATTACATTTTCGATTCTAAAGTCACTGTTCGATTCGATTTTCGATTATGAATAATTAATTAAGTAATAACCAATTAATTATTTGTAGCTACCTGACCTGCATGGTCTTTGTTTTACCCATAAACAAATCATACAGTAAATAAATAAAGGCAAGTTACACACATAATTACCACCTGTCAATCACTTTTTTTGCGGGACTCGTGAATAGGCTGTAATAATAATCTGTGTCGTTATAATGGTGTCGGTAAAAAAGGTGCACAACCAACAGGAACCAGCCAACAGTGTCTGTTTGCTAAAATGACTAAATACAAGTGAGTGAAAAATTGAAGCAGTCTGCAGACCCGCTAACTGCCTGGACCCACTGTCTCAAGTGCATGGCTTTGTGTGCGTCTGTGTCTGTGTGTGGTCACGTGATGTGCGTTTTCAGCTGTAGTGAGGAAAGAGGGCTGCTCAGAAATGCTACTGTACACGCCACTGTGGATGTCAAATCGTTGTCATTCTAAAATGCCATTTAAAAACAAAGACATATTAGTGTAAACATGGCCTGAGTGTGTACTTTTCACGAGCGGATTTGCAACAAGGGCAGGGCGGAGGATCGCGATGCTGGTGTTGTCTATCAGACGAACCGTAATACGTACATAGCAGAGCTTGCAAACAGTGTTTTTTTTTTTTTTGTCGACAACACGAACGTTGTCAACATAACTCACTGGAAATCCAAAATTCTTCCACACCGGCGACTTCATTGAAAGAGGAGGGGGTTTAAGCTCTGTCAACGAGTCTCCTGCGTCTGCCGTTTAGCAATTACTCAACAAGCATGCTTTTTTCCCACTTGGCAAGCCAAGATGACGTGCCATGGTGGTGTGGCAGCATCAAGGATTTTATTTTTTGATTCGATAATCGAAATTGAGCATAAAATTTAAATAGAGAGTTTTTCAGTCAAAAAAAAAATCATAAAACATCACCTACAGCTAAGAATCACAAGTAAAATACATTACATCTGTTCAAGGTTTTATAGGTTGAGAGAAATGCTTGAGGTAAAAGCTGCCACTGGGGACAAAAGAATTAAGTGTAAAACACTAAAAACATCTATATCAGTCGAGCAGTTAAATACATCTTTTATTCTCAAACACCAGGCGAGTATGCAACAAAATCAATGAGGTTTGCCACTCCAATTCATTGAGAATAAATGACTTCACTTTCACAATAGTGAAAACTCCTGCTAAAATCTAGAAATCTGACATTGCGCCTTCCCTTTGCAGGTCTGCATGCTAAATATTTAGTTGTTTTCCCCTATTTGCATGAAGTACATCTATTGTGTTTAGCTTTACTGCAGCAAAACTGAGCACCTGTGGGTGAAACATGTAGATAAATATTTCAATAAATCATCAAGAAAACGTGTAGAATATATTATTCAATTCTCTTTTACAAACACAACAGTTACACTGACATGTCCAGATCTATTTGACTATTATAGCCTATAATCTAAATTCCCAACACAAACTAGAATATTTAGATTAAATGCTCCTCATTCTCTATAGACATAATGGTCCCAACATGGTCATAGTCCAGATAAGGCACAAAAAACAAAAACAAAAAAAAAAACAGTTAAAACGTTCCATGTGACTTCAGTGGTTCAACTGTGAACATACCAAGCTCCAACAACACTTTAGTGAGGCAAAACAAAACAGTAAATACTAATTTGTTTGTGTATATCTCTCCAACATCCTATCAGGGTTTGTGTTTACTACGAGCAGTAAGCGACAAATAAGTTATTTTTACAGTACTTTTGATGCACAAATGTGTTTTTGAGCTTAGTAAGATTACAATTGATGCTGAAGATTGAAGCAATGTTTTGACAAAGTTTTTGGTTCTTTTTCCGGACTTTGAACATCTTAGGACCCTTGCTTTACATAGAGAAAGAGGGAACTATTCATCTTATTCTCCGTGCATGAGCGGGCGCAGCCATTTGAATCTATTTGGCTGGAGAGACTTCCGGTCTCATTCACTTCCATTCATATTTACATGTTAAAACAGCTCGTTTTGCTGCTTGATGTTGCAAACTGATATTTTCTTAGTATATTATTCTATTTTGTCTGTATAATCATGCAAACACTTGTTTATAGAGCGAGTGGTTTGACCGTTTTCAGCCATTATTTATTACAAAAACAAGCGCACTTCCACATTGAAGAATAAGGTCAATAGCTTCAAGGCAAATGAGTCACATATCACATCAAAATCACCAAAACGAGCACAAAACCAATGTTTAGTTTGAAGAGAGAGAAGGCAGGAAGAAAAAAAACATTTACAAATTCTAAAAATAACTTTTCTCTGTGATTTAACCTTTATGACAAATGTACTGGACCTGTTACACATATATTACTGTCCTTTATGAACACAAATTTCACTGTAACAGGTGCTGTTGTTTTGCTCCAGAAATACCTTCAGAGAACACTGCATTAGTCAGACATTCATACAAAAGAAGAGTTTGGTTTGGTGTAGCAGAACTGCAATATATGTTTGTCCAGGCTGACACTGGTTTAGGCCATCTGTATGTCCTTAATGCCCTCAACTGGAGCTTCCAGAAAACCTGCAATAAATGAAATACTAGCAGAGATGGCAAAAGTACACATGTCCTTTACTTAAGTAGAAGTACAGATACTTACCTTTAAAACAACTCTGGTGAAAGTACTGACTACACTTTTGTACTCAAGTTATAGTAAAGAAGTACGGCCTCAAAAATGTACTAAAGTAAAAAGTACTTGTTTCAATCACAGTTTAAAGACATGTACGTGGTATAGGTGAATAATAGGTAACTAAATTGGCATGGGTGTTTCCCAGTGCTGGGTTGCAGCTGGAAGGGTATCCGCTGTGTAAAACATATGCTGGAATAATTGCCGGTTTTTCCCTGCTGTGGCCACTCCTGATAAATCAGGGATGAAGCTGAAGGATAGCGATTGAGGATAGGTAGGTAACTAGTCCTCACACCCTATTGATACATACAGTCATCCACTGTGCCGTTATTTCATATTCTTATTAAAAGGTTGCAGAAATGACCCAGCGTCACAAAGTTCTGTTTTAATGGATTCATATTATACTTTTTAAACAAAATAAAAGTGCAAACACAGACACAGTGTTTGGGATTTATTTAACAATCATTCAAATTATTTCATTTGAAAACATGCAATCCTTTAAAATAAAAAATATTTAGTTATTTAATTATTTAAAACATATAAAGCTTTTTTTTTTGATAAGTGCAACACTTTTCCTCCTTCACCTGAAAAGTAATGTGATATATAAATAAATGATCAAATTCCAATTTTTCCCTGTCATTTTCCTTTTTTTCCATTTGATCAGCCGAGAATAAAAAATAAGGAATCCAAAAATATCCTTAATATCCTGGAAAAACACTGAAATTACAGGTTTTGGGTCTGTGTACGTTGCGTTCATTCGATTTTTGATTTTAAATTGAAAAACAAAATTTAAATTACGATGCTCTATTTGTTTTTCATTTTAAATATGAAAATTAAATTATAAAATAACAGTTTGAACATCTGCAAAATGTCAAGTATTCGAAACATGCCTCATTTATGATTTCTTGCTATTTTATTATTTATTATTTAATGTTATAGCATGTAAGACCCGGATGTACTGTACAGCGAACACGTGCTAAACGATTGATGGCACTCCGTAACATTATGGATCACTACGTGGTTTTCAGATACAGCAAAAGAGTAACAGTGAATTAGGACGACATGTCAATTGACAAAAT